AGATGTAGGTGGAGAGGCCAGTGTCATTCCCGACGACGAGAGGTGAGTCGAATCTGAGGAAAACATTGGTACCGATGTAGAAGAGAGAATCAATGGACAAGCCAAGCCGTGAAGTTCAGGGACTGTAGATCTGGATGTTGGATGGCACCATGTTCCCAAGTGAGAAGATGAGGGACTTGAGGTAGGTGAAAGAAATTGTTTTGAGATAGTTGGAGAAGAGTGGGGAACCAGGGCTGTCAGGGCCACCATGGAGTGATGAGAATTCCACAAGCACCGTCTTGGCAAATCTTGGCAATTGTTTTTGTTATTAACGGTATCGGTGGGAAGGCATAGAAGAATTTGTTCTCCCACGATACCATGAGAGCATCTCTCACCGAGTTCATGCTGATTCCTGCTCAAGAACAATACATCGTGCAGACAGTGTTGTTGTGGGTTGCAAACAAGTCTATGTCTGGTGTGCCCCAACACTGAAACAGGCGAAGACAGACTTGGCAATCTAGTTCCCACTCGTGATTGGTCGACATATGTCTGCTCAGGATATTGGCTTCTTCGTTGTCAGTATCTGCAAGATGTACAGCTTGTAGAACGATTCTGTGTGAGATGCATCAGTTCCATATGTGAATGGTGAGATTCGCCAATGATACCAACTTCGTGCTGCCTTGTTTGTTCAGATAGAAAACAGTCACTATTTTGTTGGATGCTATCTGGATCGTGTGAACCTGGAGGATGGGTTGGAACAAGTGAAACACTTTGAAGACTGCCAGCAATTCAAGGAAATTAATATGTCTAGTGGTCTCATGGCTTGCCAGGTGCCCTGGATCTGAAGGGACGTACAGTGGGCCCCCTATCCAGTCATGGAAGCATCAGTATAGACGGTCATCCTCGGATGAGGTAGACAGAACAGGACTCCACAGAAAAGGTTAGTCGATCATCCACCAAGACAAGGTGTGGAGTACCAAGCGCGGAGGTTGAAGCACTCAGCTTGGTCGATCACGGTCTGGGTGGAAATTGCAATTGAACCAAAGTTGTAAAGGTCTCGTTTGCAATCTCGCATTTGGAACCACTGCCACCAGGGATGCCATATGTCCAACTATTTGCTGAATGGAGTATGCAGAGAATCTTGTCGGGTGATGATGTTCTGGATAGAAGAAATCAGTCTCTTTTGTCGATCCCAAGGTAGGAAGGCTCATGTGTGTACCGAGTCCAGATGTGCTCAGAAGAAGTTGATAACTTGAGAAGGAACGAGGCATGATTTCTCAGTATTAATACATAGTCCCAGACTATCAAGGAGGGAGCAGATTGTATGGATGGAGGCTAAGAGGTCATCCTTAGAAGAGGAGACTATAAGCCAATTGTCCAAGTAAGGGTAAACGTGGATACCCTGAAGGTGAAGGTGGGCACAAACAGGAGCCATGCACTTGGTGAATACTCGTGGAGTGGTAGTGAGGCCAAAGGGGAGCACATTATATTCGAAGGTGTTGGAGCCGACAGTGAACTGAAGAAGGCACCTATGAGCAGGATGGATGGTAATATGAAAATAAGTGTCCTTTAAGTTCAAGGATGTGAACCAATCCTCTCTCCTGAGCAATGGAAGAATGTTCTGGAGTGTGGTCATCCTGAATTTTTTGGGTTTTATACATTTATTGACACCACGCAAGTTCAATATCGGGCATAGTCCACCATCACGCTTCGGTATGGTAAAGTAGAAATGGTGCAATCCTTCGGAGAGGCTAACTTGACAAATCTCACCTTTACAAAGCAGCTGAGACACTTCATCCTGGAGTGTCAGGGAGGCTGCCATATAATGGATCAGTCCAGCAGGTGGAATGGTCTCAAACTTGATTTTGTATCTGTGCTCTACGATGGCAAGAACCCACTTATCAGATATGATAGACTCCCAGATGGAGAGTCAACTTTGCAGTCAATTCCCAAAAGAAAGAGGGGAAGGTGGGTTGGAGGTGAGAAGAGAGGTTCACATGTGTCCTCAGCGAAGGTGTTTGTCAGAATCAGGTTGGCACCTGGGCTGTTGGAATAGAGGCGCAATCCGCTGACGGTTGCGCTGTTGTCTTTGGCCATATTACTGGCACCCAGATGGATATGGTGGTTGGTAAAGCTGATAGCGGTATTGAGATCTTCCCCAAGGCCGCTTATGCCTTTGTTGAGACAGAGTCTCCATACATGGTGCTGTAAGACAGACCTTCTGAATGTTTTTCAGCTTGTCATCTGTCCTGGCACTGAACAGGCTGGAACCATCGAAAGGCATATTCTCTACATGCTGCTTGGTTTCCTGTGGAAGATTCCCAGATCTTAACTAGGCATGTCTGTGAAGCGTGATGGCACCGACAAGACTTTGAGAATCACAATCAACATGATGCCTCACCGTGTTGAGCTGCTGCCTGGAGAGCTACAATGCCTCCCCGATGAATAGACAGGCCAGTTCCTTTTGCTGGAATGGGAAGAATGCAGCAAGGAACTTGATTTTCTGCCAGATAAAGAATTGATAACAGGCCATGGTGGCCTTGTAGTTCAAGATGCAAAGATCGAGTCCCATGGCGACATAGATGCTGTGAGACAACATATCAATCTTCCTGCCTTCTTTATCCACTGGAGTGGAATGTTCCATGTTCCTTGTTTTGAGATCCTTGAGAGTATTCGATGACAATTGGATTCGGTTGAGGATGTTTCAACAGGAAAGGGATATCCTTTTCCCGAACTTTGTACATCCCCTCAAGGCATCTGGAGGTAGGATGAGGATGGCTAGACATCCTCATCGAGGTATCAGGTATCAGTCATCGCCAGGTATAAGTCATCGCATGCTTGAGTGTGGTAATATATGGCAGGGCGATAGATGAAGAGTCTTGGGTCAATATGCTGCTGAACGTCTATCTCCAGAGACTTGGTCATGTGGGAGAGTAACTCAGAGAAGGTTCCCTGAGAGTCACCTGGAGACCCAGGGCCCTGGGTGGAGATGACCACAACTGGAGATGTAGATGCCTCTTTAGAATAGTCTGAGTCCGAGATGTAAGGTGGACTGGACAAGGATCCTCCAGGAGACATGAAGGGGTCAGCGAGTGCTGCAGCGAAGGTCGACGGTGCATCTCTCGACATGGAGTGTGGCGAAGAGTGACAAGGACGCAGCATCAGATGCGGGTAGTACCCACATGGGGGATAGTAGTCCCATGGGTAAGGCCAGTCGAAGCAGTCAGGATCGAATTCCCTGTAAGGAAGGGGAACACAGTGCTGCGACGGCTGCAGAACCAGAGGAGGAGGTGGTAAGAGGGACAAGGGGCATTGGGGTGCCCTCAGAGATCCCTCCGGAGATAAGTGAACCACAGGCTTAGGTGTTGGAGATCTCACAGGCGGTTCTTCAATTCCCGGTTGAGGAGAAGATCCATGGATCTCTCTGTCAAACACAGAGCCTCTTGCTGCCGCATCAGGACTGAAGTGCAGCAAAGTTATAACCCTTGGAGGTGATGCTGGAAGGGTCACCTGCATCAAGGACTGACAGCTCGGGGCTTTGATTGGAACTGAGGTTGGGACCAGGACTGGGATGGAGGTTGGCTCCAAGCGGGGTGGCTTGTCATGTTTCTTCTGCCAATGCTCGGGCTTATCGGGTTTGTCCTTCTTGGATCATTTGGACTTCTTTTCCTTATGCTTACACAGAGGAGGGCTAGAGGAACGCTTTCCATCCTTAGTGAGTGGACCCCCATTGGATGGTTTGGCAGATCAGGGTTTAGATGGTCCCACAGCTACAGAGGAGTTGGCCTCAGCCAAGACCTGCTTCATGGTGACCAAGGCTTGGTCCCATAACAACATGCACAGCCTATTTTCATTATTTTTCTGTCCCTGTCTTGTAAAAGACTGGCAATGGCTGCACTTATCTGTCCTGTGGGCTTCCCTAAGACAAGTGGCACAGGTTGTGAGGATCAGTGGGGGACATTTTAGCCCCACACTGTGAACACTTACAAAAAGCTGCCCACTGAGCCATTGGGAGATGAAAAAGAAGACACAGTGAGCGTAATAACTTGGAGAAGAAGGATGAAAGAAGGGTTTTTTAATATATATATTTGGGAAGGGGATAGGGTAGGGGTTGGGGGGGTTAAAAAAACCAGAGTAATAGGACCAGGACGAACTGGGATAGAGAATAACTATACATGAAAGAAGAATGAAGACAAGAAAAGAGCTTCTTAACCAGATCTAGCGATAACAGCAGAGACCAAAAGAGCCTGAGGCACAGCGAAATGGCCAGCACTCTGCCCCTTTATAGTAAGGGGGCAGAGGAGGTGGAGTTCCCACCAAAACCCTTAAAGCTGTTTAATCTTCCTGGCAACAGGCTTTGTGCAGGCGCAGCACCCATAATGTGTGATGCACAGAGGCCACGATGAAGAACATCCACTTTAATTGCAAGGATGGGGGAGGGCACTTTACATTCAGAGTCTCAGATGCAACCTAGGAACCCATTTCTAAGGTCAGAGCTAGGACTAACAGAAGGTGGCATATGCAAGTCTCAGCTAAAACCAAGAGTGTTTTTAACAGCTGTTTTATTTATATGAAAATGTATGCTGTTTTAGTTATAATTCATATCAGTTAAGGTTTCTTTTAAAATCTGATGACATTTCCTATAGTCTCTTTCCTGATCACCCACTTAGTAGAGAGGTGAAGGATCACAACAATAGTCCTTCCATCATGAAAATTAATGCATGGAGCTGTAATGGCTCATAAGATGGATTTATGCTTTAGAATCTTTAATGCTGGATTTGTACATATTAAGAAAACAAAAATCATGTCCACAGAAAAATTGCAGAACCTCACTGTTCATAATGAAAACATCAGAATTGTGTAGGATTTCCCATACCTCAGCTCAGTTATCAACTCAAAGGGAGATTGCAACCATGGAATTTGAAGAAGACTGAAGCTTGGACGTGCAGCAGTGAACTAGAAAATATGAAGTGTTTTACTGGAGACCAAGGTCAAGATCATCCAAACTATTGTATTCCCAGTCACAGTATAGGTATGAAAGATGAACAGTGAAGAAAGTGACAAGAAGAACACTGGGGCATTTGAAACATGGTGCTGGAGGAGAGCTTTGTTGAATACCCTGGACCAACAGAAAGATAAACAAGTGGATCCTAGATCAAATCAGATCAAAATGGAGGCTGTTATACTTGGACACATCAGGAGAAGGTAAGATTCACTGGAGAAGACAATCATGCTAGGGAAAGTTAAAGACAGAAGACAAAAGGGAATACCAAATATGAGATGGATTGAATCTATGAAGGAAGCCACAGTCTTGAACTTGGAAGAGCTGAATGGAACTGTCATGGACAGGACAAATTGGATGTATTTCATTCATAGGGTTGCCATAAGTCAGAGACAACCCGATGGCACATAAAACAGGAAGGCAGGCAGACTGACACACATACACACCCCCTTTAAAACAGGAGTTTGGGAACTTCTGTATGCATGCAAACAACATGCTCTTGTTATTACATGTCCTTGTCTTGTTGTTGTTGTTAGTCGTGAAGTCGTGTCCGACCCATCATGACCCCATGGACAACATTCCTCCAGGTCTTCCTGTCCTCCACCATCCCCCGGAGTCCACTCAAGCTCACACCAACTGCTTCAGTGACTCCATCTATTCACCTCATTCTCTGCCGTCCCCGTCTGCTTTTGCCATCGATTGTTCCCAGCATTAGACTCTTCTCCAGGGAGTCCTTCCTTCTCATTAGGTGGCCAAAGTATTTGAGTTTGCAAGGAAGTGAAAGGACCGGATGCCATGATCTTAGTTTTCTTAATGTTGAGTTTCAAGCCAACATTTGCACTCTCCTCCTTCACCCGCATCAAGAGGCTCTTTAGTTCCTCTTCACTTTCTGCCATGAGAGTGGTATCATCAACAACCTCAGATATGCAGATGATACCACTCTCATGGCAGAAA